TTGAGGGGCTGATGTTTTTTAATCTTTATATGTTCTAGATAGGAGTCCTTTGTTTGAAGGAAAGTCAGCTGGAATTTTTTCCAAATTTGTGGGTTTTCTTTTCATTCTGCTGGTGATTTCTTTAGATGTGCAAAAACTTTTTAGTAAGATGAGATCTCAGTTGTTGATTCTTTGAAGCATTTCCCATGCAGTTTGGCTTTTGTTCATGAACTCTGTTCCTACTCCTGTGTCTTCAAGATTTTTACCTGCTTTCTCTTCCTGTAGATTTAGTGTTTCTGTTTTAATATTTAGATCTGTAATCCATTTTGACATGAGTTTGGTACACAATGATAGACATGGGTCTAGTTTCAGTCTTCGGCATGTGGTGAGCCAGTATTTCCAGCACCATTTATTAAAGAGGTTATCTTTCTTCCAGTGAACTTGTTGGGCCCGTTTGTCAAAGATAAGGTGGCTGAGTGTGTCTGTGGTTGTAGCTGCACCTTTCAGTCAGTTCCATTGATCCTCAAGTCTGTTTTTTTGCCAGTACCATAATGATTTTATCACAGTAGCTTTGTAGTATAACTTCAAGTTAGGGATTGTGATGCCACCTGCCTTACCTTTTTGCCCAGGATTGCTTTTGCTATTTTTAATCTCTTCTGGTTCCAGATGAATTTTAGGAATGTTTTCTCTAGATCCGTGAGGTATTCTAATGGTATTTTAATTGGAATTGCATTGAATCTGTACAGCAACTTAGGAAGTATGGCCATTTTCACAATGTGGTTCTTCCTATCCATGAGCAAGATCTTTCCATCTTCTGAAATCCTCTTCAATCTCTTTGTTCAGAGTACTATAGTTTTCACTGTATAGATCTTTTGCTTCTTTTGTTAGATTGATTCCTAAATATTTTAATTTTGGGATGCTATTGTAAAAGATATGATTTCCTTAGTTTCTCTCTCAGTCTGTTGTTTTTGTATAGGAATGCTATTGATTTCTGGGTGTTGACTTTGTATCCAGCTACACTGCTGAATTTGTTGATTAATTCAAGGAGTCTTCTTGTGGAGTTTTTGGGGTCTTCCATATAAAGTATCATGTCATCTGAAAATAGTGATAGTTTTACTTCTTCCTTTCCTATCCTTATTCCTTTTATATCTCTCTCTTCTCTAATTGCCCTGGATAATGTTTCCAGAACTATATTGAATAGGAGTGGTGACAGTAGATATCCTTGTCTTGTTCCTGATTTTAAAGTGAAAGCTTTTAGTTTTTGTTCATTTAGTATGATGTTGGCTGTTGATTTGTCATATATGGCTTTTATCAGATTTAGGTAAAGTCCATATATTCCAATTTTCTGTAGGGTTTTTATCATGAATGAATGTTGGACTTTGTCAAAAGCTTTTTCTGCATCTATTGAGATGATTATATAATTTTTCTCTTTGGCTCTGTTGATATACTGTATTACATTGATTGATTTACTTATATTAAAATCTGCATCCCTAGGATGAATCCTACTTAGTCATGGTGTATTATATTCTTGATGATTTGCTGAATTCTGTTTGCTAGTACTTTATTGAGTATCTTTGCATCTATGTTCAGTAGAGAGATTGGTCTATAGTTCTCTTTTTTGGTTGAGTCTCTCTCTGGTTTTGGTATCAATATAATACTTGCCTCCAGATATGAGTTAGGAGAATTGCCTCCTTTTCAATTTCATTAAAGAGTTTGAGGAGTGTTGGCATTAAATCTTCTCTCAGTGTCATGTAGAATTCAGCTGTGAACCTGGGCTTTCTTTGTTGGTAGGTTTTTAATCATGTTTTCAATTTCCATAATTGATATTGTGTTATTCAAGATTTTTATATCTTCTTGATTCAACTTTGGTAATTCATACTTACCTAAGAATCTGTCCATTTCTTCTGTGTTTTCCATCCTATGATAGTAAAGATTTTCAAAGTAGGTATTGATGATCTTCTGAATTTCTATAGGATCTGTAGTGATTTCACCTTTTTCATTCCTTATTACATGAATTTGAGTCTTTTCTTTCCTTTTTTTGATAAGGTTAGCTAGGGGTTTATCAATTTTATTTATTCTTTCAAACAACCAATTCTTGATTCATTAACTCTTTGATTCTTTGGAGTGCTTTCTTCACCTCAATTGCATTTATTTCTGCCCTGGTCTTTATAATCTCCTCCCTTCTTTGAGCTGTGGGCCTGACTTGCTCTTCTTTTTCTAAAAATTTCAGGTGCAGCATTAATCTATTCATTTGTTCTCATTCTGTTTTCCTGATATGTCAGTTTATCGCTATAAACTTTCCTCTGAGGACTGCTTTCAGTGCATCTCACAAATTCCAGTGAGTTATATTACTATTTTTGTTTGCTTGCAGATAAACTTTAATTTCTTCCATGACCCATTGGTTGTTCAGGAGGCTGTTATTTAATTTCTAATTGTTTATGGAATTCTTGTGGTACCTTTTGTTGTTGATTTCCAATTTTATTGCACTATGGTGAGAGAGTATACATGGGATAATTTGAATTCCTTTGCATTTAGTTAAGCTTGTTCTATGGGCTAGTATGTGGTCTATTTTAGAGAAAGTCCCTTTGTGCAGCTGAGAAAAATGTATATTCTGATGCTGTGGGGTGGAACACTCTACAAACATCTACTAAGTCCATTCATTCACAAGTTTTGTTCAATTATTCTATTTCTTTGCTGATTTTTTTGTCCCATTGACCTGTCTCTTTGTGTCAGTGGGGTTTTAAGGTCCCCTATTACAATAGTGTTGTTAGTTATTTGGTTTTTCATGTCTATCAAGATTTGCCTTATATAGTTGGGTGCTCCCATGTTTGGTGCATACATATTCATGATTGTTAGCTCTTCCTCTTGAAGTTTTCTTCTTACAATTATGTAGTGACCTTCTTTATCTATTTGGATCATTCTTGGTTTGAAGTTTGCATCATCTGCAAATAGAATAGCTACCCCTGCTTTTTTCTGAGTTCTTGTCATGTGGAGAATTGTTTTCCATCCTTTGACTTTCAGTCTATGAATTTCCTTTTGAGTTAAATTTGTTTCTTGTATACAGAAAATTGTTGGATTTTGTTTCTTGATCCACTCTGCCAGTCTGCTTCTTTTGTTTGGCGAATTGAGTCCATTTACATTAACGGTTATAACTGAAATATGTTGGCTTATCTTTGTCATGTTATTTACCTGTTATTGGTCTCCTACTTGTACTCTGTTTAATTGTTTGCTGTATAAGGTGGTTCCTTACTATTGTTGTTTTTGGAACTGTGGTCATTTCTATCTCTTTATAGAATATCTTTCAGTACTCCTTGTAGGGTTGGTTTGGTGCTTATGAAGTTCTTCAGTTGTTCTTTGTCATGGAAATATTTTATTTCTCCATTAAATTTGAAGGATAGTTTTGCAGGATACATCAATCTGGGTTGGAGATTATTTTGTTTTAGGACCTGGAATACTTCACTCCAAGCTCTTCTTAACTTGATGGTTTGAGTTGAGAAATCTGCCGTGATTCTGATGGGCTTTCCTTTACAGGTGATCTGTTTCTTTTCTCTAGTGGCTTTTAATATTCTGTTCTTTTGCTGTTTATCTGGAATCTTGATTATTATATGGCTGGGTGTTGTTTTATTTTGGTTATGGCTGGTTGGGGTTCTATATGCTTCACTTACCTGAATGTTAGATTCTTTTTCCTTGCTTGGGGGATTTTCTGCTATTATTTCTGCAAATATTCTTTCTATATCATTTGTATTGACTCCTGCTGTTTTGTTGATGCCTGTTAATCTTACATTGCTTCTCTTTGCATCATCTTGCAGTTGTTGAATTGATATTTCATGGTTCTTTGTTATTTTTAAGAGATCTTTCCTTTCACAATCATTGGCTGTAATGCTGTCCTCAAGATCAGAGAGTCTATCTTCAGCTTCATTCAAGCGGTTTTGCCAGCTTTCAATAGAAGTTTTTATTTCCTGGATATCTCTTTGAATCTGTTTCATGCATTCTAGTCCTGTAGTGTTCATTTAATGTTCCCATCATTTTCCTATGCTCATCTATTTTTTTATATGTCTTCTTTAGATGTGCTGAGCAGTTCTTTCATTATTGATGTCATTTCTTTTTTTACCTGGGAGATTATTTCTGATCTGATTTCTTCTATGGACTGATGTAATTGTTTCTTTACTTCAGTTGTGATCATTTCAGAGATTTCAGATATGTGACTTCCAAGTTGTGCTATGTCAGTGTCTCCTGGACTTGTTCTGGGTGGAGTTGAGTTCTGAGAGTACATTTTGCTCCTGCATCTTGTCATTTTGGGTGTCAGAAGGAAACTGCTGAGCCACAAGCTTCCCAGGCAGCTCACCAAAGGTCTCTAGGGACCCTAGTTTTCCCCGGTGTCAGACTTATCCCAAGATGGTAGAGGGCAGTGGGCCACGGACACCATTGGTGGGGTGCACAGCTCAGACCACAATTGCCATGGTGGGGGAATGCTGGCCTTTGGTACCAGGGTTTCCAGGCCATCAGTGGAAACTGTGGGCCTCATCCGTGAACCCAATGGTGGCCAGACGGGGCCGCTGCTCCGGGGTCCTCAGGTAGCTGGTTGAGGGAGGGCAGGCCTCACCTGCCAGGTCCACAGAGCTGGGGGCTGCTCTTGCACCACTTCCCCATCCACAAGGATGATATTCAAATTTTAAAATAAAATTATTTATCTAGCATTTACTCTAGACACAGTGCTTGAATTACCCATTTATTCATTCAATAAACATCCGCTGTATATCTTCTCAGACACTACTTGATGAAGGGACAGTGTTATGGACAAAATAAATCATATCGTTGTTCTCACAGAGCTTACATTCTATTGTGGGTTGTAGGAGCATAGAGCTCTGTCATCAGAGAGCTTTGCCCTAGGGAAGAAGATCACTGTGAGAATGGGTAGTGAAGATAGCTAATTCACTAGATGATCTTATGTAACTCTAAAAATCTAATACTAAAGATACTCTAGACCTACAAAATTTATTATTTTAATTATCTCTTTCCAGCAGTTTGAGAGAGACCTCCGGCGCTATGCCACACATGAACGGAAAATGATGTTGGATAACCATGCTTTATACGACAAGACCAAGGTAGAGTGTGGTCTTCTTGAAATGGGCTATGTTGATCCTCACCCCCAAGGATGGCTTCCTGAGCACTTTTTCTGAACTGATTTTCATGTTCAAATACAGTTTCCTTTGCTACAAGTATCCTAGTCAGAGCTGAGAGCAGCTGCAGAGATTCCCACAGGACAGTCCTCACCTGGCCCAGAGCGCAGGTCAGGGACTTTTGGCTTAAAGACGATAAGCTAGCTGGGCCTCCACAACCGGAGCAGTGAACAGAACTGAATTTGCCATATCCTTAATGTTTGCAGTAAGTTAGAGCTCCGAAGAAAACCAGGGATTCCCACAAATCACAAATACTACTAAAGTACCCTCAAATGCAGGGGCAGTACCATTTTGAGTGACCTTGTAAGTCATTAATCTGCAAGAAGAACAACAAAACTACTTGAAGATATAGATGAACAGTTGGCTAAGCTCATTCATTAGTCATGTTCTGGGGTCACAATTCAAGTCAGAAAAATGAATCGCTGTGTGAATTATAAAGAGAAAAAGATGAGACTGTTAAATCCATGAGTGCCAAGGGCTACTCTTCTTGTAGTGCTCAAGGACATGAAACCAGGCTCTGAGGTGGAAGAGGACAAAATAACTAGAAATAATTGTACTTGCCGTCTCACAGATTATAATCTAGATGAGGTGTGTGTAGTTAGGGCTGTCTCATTTACAGGTGTCAGAAACTAAACCCAAGGTGGTATGGTCAAGAAGCAGTGTCCAGGCATAATATTGGCTTCAGGTGCAGCAGTATCCAGGTGTACAGGCAGCCTGAGTGCTGGTTTCATTCTCAGGCAGGCATTTCCCATAAGCCCCATTCTCCCAGTTACACCAACAGAGAAGAGCCTCTTTCCTGAGAGTTCCCACAAGAATCCTAGGTGATGCTTGCTGGTCAAGCCTAGGTCATATGGCCATCCCTGAGTCCATCACCGAAGCTCTAATAGGCCAGGCTTGATTGTATGCAACTCACTGGAGTGAGTCAGTGGAGTGGAGCAGGGGGCCCAAAGGTGTTCAACATGGAGCTCACTGAACAAGGTGCTGTAGACGCTGGCAGGAAATCCTTACAAGTGAGTGTGTAGGTGGGGTCAGAGTCACATATGGCAATGTAGGAAGAACTACAGATTAAATTTGTTTCTTGTATACAGAAAATTGTTGGATTTTGTTTCTTGATCCACTCTGCCAGTCTGCTTCTTTTGTTTGATTAATATATAACAAATAGTTCAAGTCAGTGAGTAGCTTCTGTATGGCCAGAACTGTGCTACTCACAAGAGGAAGATCTTTATTTATTTATTTTTTGGTTTTTCTCCGGGACCGGAAGTCGAACTCAGGACCTTGCGCTTGCCAGGCAGGCGCTGTGCCGCTGAGCTAAGTCCCCAGCCCCAAGAGGAAGATCTTAAAGTGATGGAGTGGAGGGTGATGGGGTTTGGGTACGTATGAAGGCTACAGAGACTCCAACACCAGTGATATAATTACTAATACATGAGCATGTAATTCTGGCTGCACATTAGAATTACTCAGAACTTTTTGAGAGTGACAGCAAGGTTTCTCCTGAGGTTTTGATTTCACTGGACTGAGGTGTGGCTCAAGTTTCAATGTCTTTGTTTTTTATTCCATCAGGTAGTTCTAATGAACAGCTATGATTAAGAACTACAGACTCATTGGAAAAATATCTAAACCCCTTTTGCTGACTATAGAATGCTGTCATAATTTTACCTTAATTTATTTAGTGCCATATTCTTGATGGAAAACGTAAAAATTACAAAAATCAGTCACAAAGACATTTTATACTCAGAAGCAGGGAAATGCATTTTGGCAATAATTCATTCTGACAAGAGAGTCTCACAAATAATGCTTTCACTGTGTCTGTACTGAGATGCTTAAGAAAAAATCTGAATGTACACATTTCTTGTATGCTTTCAGAGGATATTTCTCAAAGCAGAAAGTGAAGAAGAAATTTTTGCACATCTGGGATTGGATTACATTGAACCATGGGAAAGAAATGCCTAAGAAGAAGTTGTTGACATATTTCTGCTCTTTTCAGGTCAAATAAATTATGCTTCATATTAATAAAAGATGCTTTAGGAAAGTTTGGGATTCTTTAGGTCTTGCTGGAATGCAGATTACTACTAAAAGCATTAGCTTTGGAGACATGATAAAGCACCACATAGAAATAAATTGTGCTCTAACAAGCATGACTGATGCACGACTGCCGCTTAGAATTCACGATGAATTTTTCGGTACAGAAGTTTTATTGCTGGTGGCTTAACCAGGGAAGTAAATCAAAGCCCACTTCATTCTCTTTGTAGCGGAAGTTCAATATATATCCAATAAAAATAAAAGACAGGATGATGGAGTCTTCTTTTTTCACTCAAATATAAAATATTTTTAAACACAAATTAAGTTGTAAAAGAATAAAGAGCTTATGATTTATCCTAAGAGAACAAACAGGTTTAAATAGGAAGGTACAGGGGTTTCTAAGGGGACTCTGGTTCCTTCTGGAATTTTTGGAGGAGGGGGTGCTGACTCTTGACCCTAAGTGACCCCCATGGAACTGGCTCTGCAGGGCTCCCAACACAGGGGTACATAAGGGATGTATTCCCGCTGCTTTCACGCAGAAGGAAGTACAGTTTCCTAAAACACTAAAGGACTAGCTCTTTTTTCCACCCTGAGACTCTCTCAAGAAGATAATCTCTCTTAGTCTCTTCATCTCAGGGCACCCACGGCAAGAGTGACAGCCATGGCTCTCAGGCAGCCTCTGGAACTTCTAGGTACTAGACCCATTTGGACCTTTGGCTCCTACCAGGAGGCCACAGACAGCTCACATTCCTTGGAGATACCTAAAAGGCCATATGTTTCAGCTGCTTCAGGGTCCCCAGCTTGCTGAAGAGCTAGGGGCAAAGTCTGATGAAAGACATGGGGAGAAAGCATTGAGAAAACCACGCAGAGGGAAGGACAGCCGGGTAGTGGTGGTCACATGGATGCAGAGGTCCCCAGCCACAGCTGGCCGAGGAGCAGGGGAGATGGTGGGAATTTGGAGTTCTTGTGCTTGAGCTTCAGGCTACCAGGCCTGCTGCCCCACTTCGGCCCTGACACCCAGCACCACCTCATGGCTTTCCTGTCACAGAGTCTGAAACAGTCCTAAAGGTAATCTAGTCTTTTGACTGCCCCAGTGTTTCCCAAATGTGATAATCAATATTATTTAAGTAGCATGGAGATGAACATTTATATTGATACCGTCAATAAATATTTATTCAGAGCAATTATTTTTCTGGACATAGAACAGAAAACAAAATTGTCAAAACTCGGTATGATCTTAAGCATGAAGTTTATGTACTTAGGTACTTACTGTGTTATAAAAATCATGGTTTTCTATGTATGATACTATAAAGCTTCCTTTTAAAAATGCACTGACCTAAATAAGAAAATTCATCCGTGAATGTAAGGGCATTCATTTAGGAATTGTTACCATAGCGTGGGGACGTGGCAAGAATGGGGTGAGGGGACAGAGGAGTGCACGCGGCTGACCTTTGGGAAAGGTATAAATAGAGGGTCTTCTTCCCTCACCAACTCCACCGCTCTGGTTCTCGGAAGGTCCCCCACACACAATAGCACCATGCAGTAATTTCCCCATCAAAGAACCTCAGCAATTCTAATGCAGCGCCCTTTATTTTAAAAATCCTATTGGAAATTCTACAAATGCCTTCTGCTAAAGTGCACCTGGTTTTTGGCTCTTGGTGGGGATTTATATCCTTTAGGGTAATGACAAGGTTATCAAAACTCAGCTTTCTCCACTGAGTCCTACTGTGGGAGCAGAGCGCCCTCTGGCGGCTGCAAAAGAACTTCAGCGGCAAGTACAGTACCAAAACCAAGAATCTTGAGCAGGCCCTTAAAGACCTTCCAGGCCATCCCTTTTCCACAGATGACAAACCAAGATCTTTAATGCCGTGGTTCTTGTTGACTTAGCAGAGGATCTGTACACAGGCTGTTGCCTCCTAGTTACTAGCTCTGTGATCTTGGACAATTGACCTAAACTTTCTGAGCCTTGGTTTTCTTCTCTATAAAATAATGGTTCCTTTGTCTGCATCTGTTAGAGGGTTAACTGAGGTAATGCTATGAAATGCTTGATTTGGAGATCTTTGGATGGAAAAAGGTCCAGGAACAAGCTCATAATACCTCCGTGGAAAAGACTTATAAGTAGACTGTGAGTATTTTACTTGCAGGCTTCTTCTGCATAAGTTCCAAGCCCCTGAAGCCCAAACAGAAGGTGGCGGTGATTCCAACCACGTCTAGCTCTTGGTCTTCCAGACCTGAGCCTGTATGGATCTGGCCAGTACCAGATACACCGGCTGAGATTCTCTAAGCACAAGGCTGTGGGCAACAGACAAAAACCCAGTCAGATGACACCAGAGCTTGTGCGGATACAAGGGCAAATTTATGGGAGTTTTGGGAGCTTATCAACCTTTATTTCTTAGATAGATGAAAGCGACAGTGGGAATTACTTTTATATATTCCAAATATATTTCCATCAACCAAGTTTACTCTAAGCATTTCAGATTCTTCCCTCCCCCATGTAGAATATATCGAAGGACCCCCAAGAAAAGTATACTATCTTCAATTACAATTAAGCTCACTATTCTTAACGCTTCATTTTGTGGAGACTTAAATTATCTCTCAAAACACATTGCTTTATAGTCTTTAGGACGAATAAAATTAATGTCCTACAGCTTCAATTTCTCATCAGTAAAACTGGCATAGGAACACCTATACCACATAGCACCTGGGGTTGTGGTAAAATAAAATAAGAGAGGAAGTGCTTTTAAAACTCAAAAGTGTTAATAGTTTTTAGTCTGTGTCATATCATATGGCCATAGTTCAGTATCTGGGGATTGCAGCCCATGAAGGTAAGCATATGACTTAAAAAACATGTCACTCATCTCAGACACGTTGGCATTTAAATTCAAGGACAGGAATATAGTGTTGTGTAAAACAATACAGTTTAATTCCTGGAGTTCTAAGTGAGGGAGACTATTACCCTCAAGGTGATGACTTTGAATTTACATAGCACTGTAGACTGCAATGCATTTTGTGTTCTACATTTCTGTGGCATGTAGGGAATAATATTTTCATAAGAAACAAGTCTAAAAATGTTTTAAATATTTTAGCTTTCTTTGACCAAGGATAGGGAGGCAGAGAGAGGTATATTATACTCACCTTTACATCTACCTTCGTGCTGCAAATACAGACAGACAGATGGATTTGGAAACAGAATGATTTTCCAGCATAATATGATGAGTGAGAAGTGTAATTATCACACCCAGGCTTCTAAACTGTAATTTCAGTGTTTTAAACAGATAATCTCCATGACATTATTGAGAACTTTTCTTCTGCTGCTGAGACAAAATACCCAATGCCCAAAATTAAGGAAGGAAAGGTTTATTTAGCTCGGTTTGTGGGCATTTCAGTCCATAATCAGCTGACTCCAAGGCAGGGTAGTGTGGCACAGGGGCAACACTTCAAGGTGGCAGAACACCACAAAAGCAACAAGAGCAAAAGGAGAAAGAGCAGGCCTCTTTTACTCCCTTATATTGTAAGCAGGCTACCATCCCCTAGGGCAGGTGTAGCACTCACACCATCTCCCTGCCCTCCTCCTACAGAGGATGAGGAGCCTACAAAATGAGGACCCTGAACCCCTGCTGAGTCACCTAGTCAAACTTCTAAACTCAAGTTGACACAATGTATCAACTATTATAATCCATCCCTTATCAACTTGGCAACCAGACACATTTCTTTAAATAGGTTTCCGGTACAAAGACATGCTTATTCTTAACATTTCACAACTTGAACATTATAACACAGGTTTAACAAATCTTAAGAACCAGTATTAAGTCTATCAACATTATATCACATTAGAGCCATAACATTTTGCCCTTCCCCCCCCCGAAGACTCATGCACATCCCTTTATGCAAAAAGCATTTAGTCCATCTGCAAGAGTAGACAAAGTCCTAACAGTTTCAGCATTGCTGAAAAGTCCAAGTCCCAAGTCTCCTCTGAGATGTAAGACACACTCTTAGTTGCAAGCCCCTGTACAAATGAAAAGTTAGACATTTCCAACACTCAATGGCACAAAATAAACATTTTCATTCCAAAAGTTACAAACAGGGACTAAAATAAGTCCACAATTCAGCAGGCTGAACATTAAGTCCATGTCCAGTATCTGAGGAAATCTGTGGTAAATAGTGAGCTCCAAAGAGCTTGAGTGACTCCACCCCTATAGCATTTCTGGTGGTTGTAGCTCCCACTGCTTCTTTCTTGGGTTGGCTTTGCTCTCCCCTTGCAGCTTTCCTTAGATGATCCACATGCCTGGCTTTTCCAAATTTCTGGGGTTTCCACAGAACCTTTGGCTTCACACTCACATCTTCACATATTGCCCTCTCAGGGGCACACTTACTGGCGGTTAGGGTTTGTGTCTGGGTGTCCCCACAAAGCCTCATGCAGCCATGGGGCAGACTTTTAGTTTGATTGATTATGGGTGTGAGCTACACCTGCTCTGGGGTGGATAGTTTTGCATATGTAAGGGAGAAAAAGAGGCTGCTTGCCACCTTCCTCCCTTTTGCTCTTGCTGCTTTTGCTGTTTTCCACCACCATGAAGGTTGCCCTGTGCCATGTGCCACTCTGCCTTGGAACCAGCCCAGTGTGGACTGAAACCTCCACAAACTGTAAGCTAAATAAACCTTTCCTTCCTTAATTTTGGGCGTAGGATATTTTGTCCCAGCAACAAGAGAAAAGTAACCGAGACAGAATTTGGTACCAGAGGAGAGGGGTTGTTGCTGTGACTATGCCTGACCATGTGGTTCAACAGCCTTTGGAAATGGTTTGTGGGAAGTGTTCGGAAAGGTTAAAAAATGTCTCCTGAAAAAGAAGTGCTAGGACACCTTCAGTTGTTCTGTCTGGGAGATTCTGGTCAGAGTTCAGAAGACCAGAGGCTGATAAAAGTCCTTACAGTAAAGCCTGGGTTTGGGAGGTTTTGGTCCATACTTGGCTGGCTCAGAGGCAGAGTGGCACATGGCAGAGGGCAAACGTTCATGGCAGCAGAAAACAGCAAAGCAACCAGAGCAAAGGGGAGGAGGGGCAGAGAAGAGCAAGCCTCTTTTCCTCCCTTATATTGTAAGCAGACTACCCCCACCCAGGAGGCGTGTAGTATTCACATAATCTCCATGCCCTCCTCTTGCACAGGCTCAGGATGAATACAAAGTAAACACCCTGGCTCCCTGCTGAATCACGAAGTTAACCTTCTAAACTTCTCAAATTGACACAATGAACAACATCCCAGAAGAGTAA